ACGTACAGTTGTGTTCCAGCAGCACCCTTCTTTGGTAAGCATAAAAAAAAAAAATCACTGTGGAACATGAAGGAACAATACAAGTTGCCTGCCATAGGCTGTTGTAGAGGGAATTAGAGGAAATAGTGGCATGGTTACTGGAAGTGCAAATAGGTAAAATATAAAACCACCCATTGGGCATTTATATTGTGGCAATTAGAAATAATCAACCTAATATGGACACTGGTGCTCATACCTGTAATCCCAGCTACTCAGGAGGCTGAGATCTGAGGATTGCAATTCAAAGCCAGACTAGGCAGGAACATCCTTGAGACTCTTTTATCTCCAATTAACCAGCAATAAGCTCAAAGTGGAGGAGTGGCTCACATGGTATTGTGCTGGCCAAGCAACGGCTGGAGGCTCAGAGGCATGGGTTCAAACCCCGGTGTTGGTGCATGTGGGGGTGGAGGAGGGGCGGGACATGTGTATGTATCTGTGCACATGCACACGTGTGCACACACACACACACTAACTCTAGTATTATCTACCCGTCCTATTGGCATATTCTAATTGGCTATCTTCCCACTTTCTCTTTTCAAAAACTCACTGTTGTAGACTAGGAATCTGACCTCAGTGAAGTCAGGCAGCCCAGCCCTACATCTCCTCATCTGCCTCCTTCAGCATCGGAGAGTTCTGCTGCCTCCTCATAGGGCTAAAGCTGACGAACCTCTTGCATGTGTCTTCTTAGGGAAGACAAAAGAGAACGAGATAACCAGTTCCTTTGTGTTTGACACTTGTTGTTTAGTGACCAGGTGTCTGAACCCTGGCATGCATGCCTTGTGCTTATTTTTTGCAGCCACCCCTCCCTGTCCACTTGAAGCCCTGGCCATCTCCAGTCTTTCATTGAAGAGTCCACCATTATTACAGCAGCGCAAGGGACCTGGCAATAATCCCCCAATTAAGTTCGCAAGCCAAAGCTATCGGGCTTGTTGTGCGTTTTGATTTCTTGGTTTTGACCCAGGATCTTTGTACCACATGACGAGATTACTCCTGGAGTACTTATGATGTATAAAATCTTGGGTAGGAAAAAAATGAACCTTAATAACAACAAACATATCCACTCACCCTCTTCATCACTATAGCCAGTATAAACTTGACTTAGTCTTTGGAGATGGAGATTTATCCAGAAGTTTCCATCCACCACAATCGGATAAACCCCAGCTTGCGGGAGTCACTCATGGAAAGAATGCTATAAAAAGAATTGCCCAACAAATTTCCAGATAGTTAAATTAGAAGGGAGAAACTGTAATGTTCATGGAAGAGAAGTTTTTTAACTCCATTTAAACCAGAAGGGGGTGATTTCACTTTTAGAAGAAACTCGTAACTAAGACTGTTCCCTGGGAAAATGATTAACACCGCTGTTGACATGTGTTCGAACTTCTCGGCAGAAGAAGACTGAATGAGGGAAGGGGAAGCTCTGGGCAGCTGAGTTGGAAATCCCTTGCCCCAATGAATCCAAGCAGTGTGCACAACGTAATGTAGGTGCTAGGTTATTCTAAGTAATCATGTATTTAAGGACTCTATAAACTTCAGTAGTGGTCATTTTTAGTAAATTTTTGTTCTAAAGGTTATACTTTTTCTTTTCATTCCTATGTCCCACATTAAAAGATGTCTGATCACGTTGATCCTTTTTTCTTTAAATTCTCAAGGTTTATAAGTAACATTCACAGGAACTCTATGTTCCTGTAGGCCTGTTTGCCTTCCCAGCAATGCTTATTTCTAAAAGCTGGGCACCGGTGGCTCGTGCCTATAATCCTAGCTACTCAGGAGGCTGAGATCTGAGGATGAAGTTTCAAAGCCAGCCCAGGCAGGAAGGTCCATGAGATTCTTACCTCTAATTAACACCCCCCCCCCCCACACACACACACACAAACACAAAACCCAGAAGCTGTGGACCAAGTAATAGAGTGCTACCCTTGAGTGAAAAACCTGACACACACACCCTAAAAAAATGAAGTGTCTTTTTTGGGGGGAGGGGGTCAGTTATGGGGCCTGAATTCTAGGCCTGGGCGCTGTCCCTCAGCTCTTCAGCTCAAGGCGAGCGCTCTACCACTTGAGCCACAGCACTGCTTCCAGTTTTCTAGTGGTTTATTGGAGATAAGAGTCTCACAGACTTTCCTGCCCGGGCTGGCTTTGACCACTATCCTCCGATCTCAGCCTTGTGAGTAGCTAGGATTACAGGCGTGAGCCACCTTTTGGACCATCAGTTCTTACTCTTCCAGAGACTGAGGGCATGGACACATGGAGGAGACTGCATTCTTCGTAACATCTAACTTGAAGGCACTAGAGTCATCAAAAAATCTTTTTTTCTTTATCTGATGTTATGAATACTAATTACTACATGGTCAGTCCCCTTCAAAAGTACTTCTAGAAAAGAAGGAAATACACTCACCTAATAACAGAAATAGATTTAGGCAGATGACTACAGTATCTTGCCAACAGGAGCCAGAGATATTGTAAGAGTCCCATAGCTGTGAGTCAAAAACTCCACTGAAACAGTGAACAATACAGCATTGGTACTCATTAGAAACCATGTTGAAAATCAACTATACAACTTGTGGACAGGGACGGGATGGGAAAATTGGGAGAAAGAAGGAAGGGGTGACATTGTCCAAACAGAACTGTACTCATTAAGTGGCAACCCCTCTGTACATCCCCTTTATAACAATTTTTAAAAGAACAAACCAATAACCCCATTAAAAAGAAAAGCAGCCCAGAGGTAAATATATGGAACCTAATTTTCCATGCCATTCCCCTCAGGAATGCCATTTGCTTTTGAGTTGCTGTGGATTAGTATATTTCTTGTTTTCTTATCCTTTCTGATTTATGTATTTGTGTACCACGTGGTTCTAATTTCTTCTCAGTCAATATACATGGTATTTACGTTTTATCCGTGTGCTGCGCAGAATCCATGTTTGGTTCTACCCCAGGTCATAAAGCATTTGCTTCCAGTGCCTTACTAGCTGATTTCCTGTCACCAAGCCACACATGGCACCCCAATACCTGGGAGAGTGAGGCAGGAAGATGACAAGTTCAACATCAGCCAAGGTACAGGAGTTCCAGGCTCATCCGGGCTACCCTGTCATATGCTGTCTCAAAACAAAAACAAAGGAAATCAAGTGTTTTATTTCTGTGCAAACTGCCTGACTACAGTTTGTGTCTTGGCATTGCGTTCACACTGATGGGTAAAAATGCTCACTTTCTAATAGAGGGTTGATTACCCACCATGTGTGGGCAGTGTTCTGGACATTAGGAACAGAGGTCAAACACCTGAGTGAAATAAAAGTTCCATTTTATCTTGTCGATTTCAATTCATCCTATTTGGGGTAACAATTATGTTAAAGTAGAATGAAGATAACTGTAGGAAACATTAAAAAAAAAAAAAAAAAGCTAGGCACCAGTGGCTCACACCTGTAATCTCAGCTGAGATCTGAGAACCGAGGTTCAAAATAAGCCAGGGCAGGAGTCTCTGAGACTCTTCTTTCCTATAAACTACCAAAAAGTTCCAAGTAAATCTGTGGCTCAAATGGTAGAGCAGAGCACTAACCTTGAGCAAAAGCAGCTCAGGTAGAGACTAATACCAAGACCCTGAATTCAAGCCTTAGGATCAGAACAAAAAGAAAAAGAGAAAAGGAAAGAAAGAAAAAACAACAAACAACCAGGTGTTGGTAGCTTATACCAGTAATCCTAATTACTCAGGAAGCTGAGATCTGGGGATCTCAGTTCAAAGCCAGCCTGGGCAACAAAGTCTGTGATACTTGTATTTCCAATGAACTACCAAAAAGCCAGAAACGGAGCTGTGGCTTAAAGTAGTACAGTAGTTTTGAGTACAAAAGCTCAGGGACAGCTCCCAGGGCCCGAATCCAAGTCCCAGGATCTGCACCCCCCCACCCACCACACACATACACAAATAAAAATCCCAACAACAAAAAATACCTCATAGATCTTTGAATATACCCTTAAAGTTATTATGAAAATTGAACAAAATGGTGTTGTATTTAAAACACTGAAGATAAAGATAATCGTTCTAAGGTAGACACTATTTATTTCTCATTTGACAGGTGAGAGGTGTGAGGCCTGGTGATGGGGGGTAACTCGCTTTGTTGGTATCACACAGGTAGGAGGGGAGCGAGTCTGCTCGCCACAGTGCTATCAGGGGCCTTTGTCCCATTCCTACCAATGCCAGCTACTGATGCAATGCTGCTTCTTTCTCTTTCACTGAATTTAGTTATCTTTTCTCAAGTTTGGATTTAATGCTATCAACCACAAAAATTATACAGGGAGAGACAGGACAAGTAACAGAGTCAACCATTCTGATGCAGTGTAAAAGTTAACTTAGTCATTGATAGTCACTTAATTCCAACACAAAATTGCTTACTTTATTTTGAAACAATAAAATAGTAGCAACACAATAACTTAGTTACCATAAAGTATCCAATGCAGCAAAATAACATAGCAAATAAGCAGGCCCTACCTTAGCACAAATTAGTTATCTCCTCTAAGTAAGAAAACCAACCACCAAGCTAGTGGCTTCTCAGTCCCGCCTGCACATTGAGAGGAATGCAGGAGAGGAAGGCCGGTGCTTTTAAAAAAAAATAAAAAAGCTAAGTGAGTATCCCACCAAAAAGGGATCCAGGTAAAGATTTCTAAAGTGCTGCCAGTGTTGAGAACTATAGGTGTGAAGTAATAAACAATAAAAACACACCCTGGAAGCAACTCAGATCAAGAAACTGATCAGATGACAAGGGTTCTCCTTTTTAGAAAAAGGAGGGGCCAGGCAACCTCTCCCTGTTCTCATCCGTTCTCCACTGCCCATGGTGGTTTTACAAGCATCAAATATTACAAGTGATTTATGCATCCAACAAACTGAAATTCTCACTAGTGTACATGTATAAAATCCTCTGAAAACAATACTAGCTTTTAGCTCTTTCAGCTATTTGTTCAACTAAGAGTCAGTAGGATATATGAGAAAGTATTTTATTGAGATCAGTTATAAAATGATATTCATTGCATGTACCACAATTAAAACTTTTTGGTGCGCAGAGGAGGAAGAGTTGAACGATTTCCATCAGTTTCTAAAACTGCTTCAACTCCCTTTCATAAGATCAGCTTTACCTTCAAACTCAGAATCTAAGCAAAATTTATTTTCTTTAACAATGCATACACAAAATACTTCAACTATAACTGTATTAGAGCTGTGACAAATCCCTATTGGGAGTTTTGGTAGTAACTCTAGGCATTTTATCTTCAAAACCACTTTTCCTCCTTTTTCAAGTTTAAAGACACTATCATGTCGAGAGTGGAAGATTAACTGTCCCAAAACTGCAGAGCACATGAATCACTGAGACCCTTGGCTCCTTGGTCAGGACTCCATGTCAATCTCAACCACTTCACTCTTGCCCTGAAGGGCTGTTCCTGTGAGGCTGTCTTGGCTGGCGTCGGCGATGTCGGCCAGGTCAATAGGTGGTAGAGGATTCCGCCAATACTGGAATGTGTTATACTGCCAAAACTCTTCATTGTGCTTCAAGGTAAGAAGAGAGGTGAACACACATCACTGCCTCTAGTTTATTCGAAATACAGATTTAATTTGCTTAATCAAAGCATTTCATGTAGTTGGTGAAATATGTAGAGCTTAATAGTTGTGCTTTTATAACAGTGTGCTAACAGTTTAAAAGAATTTTTTGCTGGGAAGGTGGATCAGTGGTAGAGTGCTTGCCTTGCATGCATGAGGCCCTGGGTTCAATTCCTCAGCACCACATAAGCAGAAAAAAAAAAAAAAGCCGGAAATGGCACTGTGGCTCAAGTGGTAGAGTCCTAGCCTTGAGCTGAAGAGCTGAGGGACAGCGCCCAGGCCCAGAGTTCAGGCCCATGACTGGACCCCTCCCCCCAAAAAAAGAATATAATTTCTTCCAAAAATATCTCTTTTTCAGAAGAGAGTTCAGAAATTCAAAGATTTCTCTTTTCAGAATTTTCTAGCTTTTCACCCAAGGAAAATGGAAATAATCTTAGAACTGTCAATGAGGAAAATAAGATCTTTTAAAATACACACCATTAGTCAGGTACTGGTGGCTTACCCCTGTAATCCTAGTTACTCAAGAGGCTGAGATGTGAGGACTGCAGTTTGAAGCTAGCCCAGGCAGGAAAGTCCGTGAGAGATGTGAGAGTCTCATCTCCAATTAAAGTACCAGAAAAAGAAAAAAAAAAATGCTGGAAGACAAAGCAGCTCAAGTTGTAGAGCGCTAGCCTGTCCAGGCCATAAGTGTAAGCCTCAGGACTGGCACACACACACACAAAAGATATATATAACTTATTTTCGGTCTTTTTTAGGTTTAGTATGAAAGTTTTCTCCCAGTACTAGGACATGTCTAACTTTTAAATCAGTGTATCAAAGTTTAGCGACCTAATTGAGTGCTGGCCCCTTAAAAATCCAGCTACTTATTTGGGATGATTAAAAATTTCTAAGCAGGAGAGGTGGCAGTTTACAAGTCTTCATTCGCTACTTTCTGTATCTGTACTGCTCCCTCATTAGTTCTACACAAAGACTGTACACACATCAGATGTGATGTGCTCTGCTAGGATAGATCTCCATATCCAATAGGTGAGGGTGTTTTGTTTTTCCGGTCTGAGACCAGGACTCGAACTTTGGTACCTGACTCTTCGGCTCATTGGCTAGTGCCTACCAACTGAGGTATGAGCTCAGCCCTGAGCGTTTTTGTTCAAGGCCACTTAAGCCACAGCTTCTCTTCTGGCGGTTTTTGATTAGTTGGATAAGAAATGTCACAACTTTCCTATCTGGGTTGGTTTCAAACTGCAACCTTTAGATGACTGTGTCCTAAAGCCTAAGCCACACATGCCTGATAATGGGTTATCGTTCTGGATCTCAAAGAGCAATTGGAAGAAAAAGACTACACAAAGCTTATGTTTTCTAAATTCCAAGAACTCTGGGCATAGAAATATCAGCAAGTTCATCCAGAGGTGGTCTTTTTAGGGATTCAAGTCAATGTTTCACAACCACAGGGAGAAAAAATATCCTTTCTAACAATAATAATGTCACTCCACTTTTCTCATAAAGGAGTCTTGATCCTGGGGCTTGAACTACGGCCCGGGCAGTACCCCTGAGATTTTTTTCTTTTTGCTCAAGGGTTAGTGCCCTAACACCTTCAGGCTGATTAACCTGGGATGAGAGTTTCCTGCCTAAGCTGGCTTTGAACTACAATCCTCACATCTCAGCTAGGACAGGTGTGAGCCACTGGCTTCCGGCTTCATTGGTTCTGTTCGTTCGTTTTTTCATTAAACTGACTGAGGCACTGGGGTGGAGGCCAGGCTCCAGAGGAACTTACCCCACTCCACCCTCCCGGGTAAACGGTCTCAGACCAGCTCGCATTTCCCTCTCTGGACCCAGCTGTCCAACACCCACGTGGCGTCACGCGTGCCACAAACTAGAGCTTCGGGGGGGGGGATGGAGGAGTGGGTGCGGGGGGGACCCCGCGTGCACGGCGTCCCAGGGCCCCAACGACCCCCCCCAACCCCCAACCCGGCCCCGGACTGGAGCATGTTTCCGCAGCTTCAGCTGTTCGGATCCGTGCAGCTCCGGTCGCGGGTCGGTTTGGGGGATCCCGGGGCGGGGGGTGGCGGAGCCGAGGGGCGCGTGGGATCTGCTGCACACGGCCCAGTGACTCCCACGGGTGGGGGGGGTGAGTTCCACACCCGTCTCTCTCCCGCGGACGGCACCGGCCGCCCTGACTTAGCCCCCCCCCCCCCCGACGGCCCGTACCTGGCGCGGGGCGGCCCCCCAGTCCCCCCGCGGGGGCCCGGCGTGCCCCGCCTCGTCGTCGTCGCCGCCGCCCCTCGGGGGCCGGGCGTGCTGGAGCTCCTCCCCCGGCGCCCGCGGCCGGCCGGGCAGCGGGGCCGCCGCCGGCTCGCCCGTACCCAGGCCGCGCTCGGGCCGCCCGCGGCCGCCCCGGCCGCCGCCCTCGCCGCCCTCGCGGCGCTTGCTGGGCGAGGCCGCCGGCTCGGCCATGGCCCCCGGCTCAATCTTGCGCTTTCGGGACGGCCCCGGCGGCGGGCCCCAGGGCGGCGGCGGCTGCTCGGGGAAGTCGCGGAGCAGGAGCCGCTTCCAGGGCACGTGGAACGCCAGCGGCTGCGCGGCGCGCCGCTTGGCCATGGGCCCGCCGGCTCGGGGCGCGGGGCGGGGGGCGGCGGGCGGGCGCGCGCGGGCCGGCCCGCGGCGGCGGCGGCGGCGGCGGCGGCGGGACGCGGAGGGGCGGGGCGGGCGGCCCGGGCGGCGCCCGGCGGCCGCGGACGTTAGGCTGCAACCGCGAAGCTGCGGAGATTCGAACCAGCGCACGGCTGTGCGCGCGCACCCTGGCGCCGGCCGGGCGAGGCCGCTGGTTGGTGGAGGCTGGCGGGGCGCGTTCCCGACCGCCCTCGCGGCCGGAAGTGCGCGCCCCGGCGGGGGGAGGCGGGGAATGGGTGGCGGGAGGCTCGGAGTCTGGTGCTGCGCTCGGGGGCGGGGCCGCGCTCGGGGGCGGGGCCGCGCTCGGGGGCGGGGCGGCGGCTGTCTTTCTCCACGCTGATTTGGAGCCTGGCTGGGCATCGCCTTTGCCACGTTTGCCACTTTTCCCTCGCTCCGGCCACGAGTTGGGGGACGAGCCCGTGGAATTAGGATTCAAAGGAGGATTCAGATCTAGGAGGCAGTAGGGTGAAGCGGCTTTGTGCTCGCGTCGAGGGGGTAGCGGGGCGCAGAGTTTGGCCGCAGGGAGCGGCCCCCTCCTGGGCTGCGGAATGCACCCGCGGGAGAGGCTCACCCCCCAGATCGCCGGGCCGGAGGAAGAGGCAGGACCGGGGGGCACGGCCAGTCCTCCCGTGGAAGCCATACAGCGGGTCGAGCTTCGCCGGCGTCCCCTCCCTCTGATCGCCTAGCGGGAAGTGAGGAGACAACCTGTTACCTTGTGTTCTGATCGTTTCGGACGGAAAGTAAAACAAGTAGGAGGACAGTGCTCAGGGGTAAAGGGTGAAGGTAGTTCTGGCTCGCGGATGCGACCGAGGGATCTCTACTCACCCCGGGAGGCCTGGGGGGAGGCGCGAGAATCAGACAGCAGGGGCAGTACTGGGGAGAAAGCAATGGGGGTTCCTCCTCGTGTTTGATAGGGGGAACCCATGCAAACAAGTGAAGAGTTTGCCATTTTTCAAACTAGAGACACAGACAAAACCTGAGCCTAGCGGTCTGCTCGAAAGCTCTGGAGATGATCCCACCGCTCAGTGACCGTGAAGTTCGGATAATGGCTCGTTTTTGTTCTTACATTGTCTTGTTCTTCGAGGCTGTGAAGTTTAGCATACGTGCCAACAGTCTCACAATGTCAGAAATGTCACAGACACCAGGGTACGAGGAGCTCTGTGTTAACCTTCTCCGTCTGGCAGCTCCTTTCCTTTCCCTCCGAGTAATTATTTTTTGAACGATTCCTTTACATTTTCTTTGTAATTTTCATACATACATGGATAGATCCCTAAGGAATGTACTTGTAATTTTGTTGATTTTTTTTTAAGAGAGCAGCTTCACTGAGACCTACTTGGCCGACAATAATTGAAATATTGAAACAATAATGAAAATAAAAAGTACACATCTATGCAAACCATTTTTTAATATTCAGAATTTTGTAGTAGGATCTTAAGCCCATATTTTGTACGGAAAAGGTCTTTTTCTAGTGCTGTTCACTTTCTGTGGGTAATGACCCCAAAGTTGTCAGGCTGCTCCGTTTCTGGGCTTCAAGCAATTCTGTCTTAGCTTTCTTCCCCAGTGCCAGCACCGCTGGCGAGCGACACTGCACCCAGCTTTATATCTTTACATTTGCTTATTAAAAACTGGAACCTCACAGCCATCTATGGTGTAGGAGTGGTTTTAAAACTTTGTAAGACTGACTTTGTACAATTGTCTTGTGTTAACCCTAAACACGGTTGGAACAGATATTGTTGCCAATTAAACAAAACTTCCTCACTTTCCAGTGAGTCCAACTCTGTTCATACAACTGACTTCACATTTCCCTAGATTCAAGCTACCTTCTCCACCAACCCCCCCCCCCCCCCCAGCACTACAACCATCCAGCCTACTGTATCATTCAATGTGTTGTTATTGCCTCCCATCCTGGGAATTAAGCCAGTGGAAGGACTGGCCACTATTTTTTTTCAAGTGTCTAGAACAGTGCCTAGCATGTATTAAGTGCTAAATTAACACAGGGATCTCGTTACTATCCTCCAGTGTACCTATGCACCATCCATCAGCCTTCCAGGTATTCATATAAATTTTGTTGTTTTGGTGCCAGTCCTAGGGCATAAAATAGGGCCTCAAACTCTGCTTTTTTTTTCATTCAAGGCTGGTGCTCAACCACTTGGGCCACAGCTCCATTTCCAGCTTTTTGGTGGTGAGAGGAATCTCACCAACCATTCGGCCCTGACTGCTTTCTAACTGCAGTCTTCAGAGCTCAGCCCCTGGGTAGCTAGGATTATAGGCATGAGCCACTAAGACCTGGCAGACTACTTCTAACATCTCATTTAGTATAAACTCACCAATGAATGGGTAATCCACTGATAAGGTATGATCCTAGCACTACTGCCACCAGAGTGAGGCCAAAGCCTTTCACGAAGCTTTTGGGGGTACATTTTATATTCAGTCCATAGCCACACAGATGACAAGTTTCTTCACTAGAAGCAGTTTCTGGTTTCTACTTTTTTTTTTTTTTTGATCCGGTTGTGGGGCCTGAACTCTGGGCCTGGGTGCTGTCCCTCAGCTCTTCAGCTCAAGGCTAGTGCTCTACAACTTGAGCCACAGCGCCACTTCCGGCTTTTTTCTTTTTGCTTATGTGGTGCTGAGGAATCGAACCCAGGGCCTCGAGCATGCAAGTCAAGGGCTCTACCACTGAGCCACCTTGACATGCATCTCTTAACATTGTTATACATCATGCAAGCTTTAGAGGAACTGAGTATTTCTATTTCAGTTTAGCTCTTCAAAGGTATCTGTACAATAATCAGAGCTGGAAGGTAGAGGTACTATCTCCCTCAGAAGCACAGGCAAGTATATTTGTTTTCCAGTTTAATGATTTACAATGGGAAATCAAACATGCTGCTTGCTTACTTTAAGATTAAGGTTCCAAAAGCCCATTATAAATGATTAAGATTTCCAAAACTAGGCTGGGAATGGGGTAGAGTGCTTGCCTAACGTGCATGAAGCCCTGTGGTTCAATTCTTCAGTAACACATAAACAAAAAATGCTGGAAGTGGCGCCGTGACTCAAGTGGTAGAGTGCTAGCCTTGAGCAAAAGAAGCTCAGGGACAGTGCCCAGGCCCTGAATTCAAGCCCCTGGAGTGGCAAAAATAAAAATAAAAAATTCCAAAACTTTGGGTTCTTCTGTAATGCGACCCAAATGTCTGTGTAGGCACTTCTTCTGGCTGAGATTTGGTCCTGAGAAACCTAGTACAAAATACTCTGGCTATTGCGATTACTATGCACAACCAACTTTTATTTTTGACTGATGTCTTAACAGTGGACAGCCTAGCTTCCTAGCTTTGAAAGCAGGGTAAAATCTCAAGTCACTTTTATAATCAACACCTTCAGCCTCAGATGAAGCAGCGCCCAGGTTATAGGTCCTGCTTTCACTGGCATCTGGAGTCAGTGGCACAATGTCAAAGCCCAAGTAATTAATTTTCCCTTAAGCAAACTGACCAAGTCCATTTTGTTTCTGAAGGAAAGGTCTTTCCAGCTTGTCCAGAGATGGTCTCATGCAGCTCTAGGACTCTGTCACTTTGTGAAATATGGTAGTGTGTACATGAAGAGGAAGCAGGGGTCCTGAGAGTATGAAAGCTGAAGATGAGGAAGACATAGCATCAATGACCAGCCACTGAACCTGGAGACAGAAGTCAGTGGGGAAAAAATGGTACATTTTCTACCCATCCCATGGTTCACTGTTCCAACAAACTGGCTGCTTTGCAACTGGCTACTCACAGCTGTGGGGAACTCAGGTCTCTTGCTGTTCTGTAATAACTGATACACACTTTCAACGTCTTAAGCTGTTTTCCTGTAGGGAAGGTGGCACCGTAACAGTGATGACTGGAGGGTCAATGGGAAAAAAAAAGAGTCACCACCATTGAGAGGTGACCCGGCGGATGCTAGATGGCAGATTAAAACAGGAAGCCAAAATGAAAGAAGGATTTATTGCTTGCTATAGTACAAGCAAGATGCTTATCCAGAGAAAGCACCACCTGTCCATTTTCTCAGTTGAGGTAGCTCTGTAAAGGCTCCTGTAATTTTGTGGATAGTATACGGTTTATATCTAAAATGTCCCCCCCAAAAGCTCATGTGTCAAAAGGCTTGGACCCCAAGGCAGCAATGTGCAGAAATAGATCCTAGCTGCCCAGGAGGCTGAGATCTGAGGATCACAGTTCAAAGCCAGCCCGGGCAGGAAAGTCCGTGAGACTCTTGTCTCCAATAAACTACCAGAAAACCTTAAGTGGAGCTGTGGCTCAAGCTGAAGAGCTGAAGACAGCACCCAGGCCCAGAGTTCAAGCCCCACAACCAAAAAAAAAAAAATAAAGGGACTGATTCAGAGACCTCTAGCCTCATGGACAGATCAACCCACGATGATTCATAACCTGATGTGCTATTGGGAGGTGACAGAAATACAAGGGTGGGCTCTGGATGAAAGGAGCAGGTCCTTAAAGATGTCCTTGGGGACTCCATTTGTTCCCCTAACTGCCACCAAAAAAAACCCCGTAACAGTGCTAAGTGACCATGGTCTGAAACCATGAGCTGTAAAGTTATTTTTCTCAGGTATTTCGTTGCAGCAACAGGAAAGTGACTTAAAAACACAAGAAAAAGAGAAGGAAGGGCTAGAAGCAGGAAAAAAAAAAAATACTAAGTCGGAGTAAAGTATCTCCAAGGCCTTCTCCTACCTCAGGTCTCAGCAAAGGTTCCTAAAATGAACCCAGAGGATCTAAACACTTGTCCTCCTATTAGCTGGTCCTGGAAATCTTTTTCTATTGTTTGCCTTTGTGGTTACTTTTGTTACTTAACAAAATTAAACATCAATTTTATTCCTTGTTAGATTCCAACAAAAAGTACAATGGACTTGAATGAAACGAAGTGCAAACAGTTAATATTAAGCCTGTCCGACTCAAAGCAAATAGTCATGTTACTGACTTTCTATAAGCAAA